AACAAATGATCAACTTCACCTGTAGAAACCTGCAATCTGCTGTTTTATGCCCATGATCGTTATGAAATTCGCACCAATGATCAGGGTTTCGTCTGTTCGGATTTGATTCGATTTCCTTAGCCATCGTACCTTATCTCCCATGCTCCTTAAAACAGCCACGATTTCAGAGGTGCTTACATTGAAGTTGTAACCACCGAACCTTGCCTTTAGACTTCCATCATCGTCTCGTGACCCGCGTGTGTTTCGATCATTCCCGAACCTTGATGAGGAGCCTGATTCCCTGTTCCTAGGTTTGTGATCGTACCTTTGATTATCTTGCCTTTATCGTGAGTCTTTTCTCGCAGGTCCCATGTATGGTTCGTACCTGTTTTTACCGGATCTCTTTTCATTTTCCACACGCCTACTAAGTGTCACGACCCGGATTTCCCACCATCGGGATCGTGATAGCGCCTACTCGTGGTAGCTAGGCAAGCCAACTTATTTGCCTTTCATTAATAAATAAATCTGTTAACAATCTATAGCATCAATGTAGAACATGAAATTTAATAATAATAATAGCGGAAGTTTAATTCATAAGTCTGAATCAAAACGCGGAATAGTCAACAATAGCCTCTACCCAAGATTTGGTGTCACATTACTCACGAACCACTAAGAATAAACTAAATACAAAAGTCTGAAAGAAATATAACAGCTGTCTGTCTCGAAAACGATGAGGCAACAGTCACAAGGAAAATATAAAGAAGAGACGCCGGGCCTGCGGACGCCTGCAAGGCTACCTCAGTCTCGTGAATAGGATAGTCTGCTCCCGAACTACTGCTGCTGCTGCTCCTCAAAACCTGGAGGGCTGACTGGAAAAGCCTGGAAGGCTGACCCCTATCATAAGAATCCCTGCCCCCAGATGAGGCACCACTGAACCGACCTGTGTGACGGGGTCTCTTGTCTGTTCTATGACCACCCCCCTGTGACAGAACCATCTCGATTCTCCGGGCCACATTGGCCGCCTCCTGAAAAGTAATATCACTACCCGTCTCTCTGGCCATCTGAAGACGAATAGGCTGGATCAAACCATCAATAAATCTCCTCACCCTCTCCCTCTCAGTGGGGAGTATGACGAGGGCATGGCGAGCTAGATCGATAAACTGGGTCTCATACTGAGTGACCGTCATAGACCACTGCTGGAGCCGCTCAAACTGCCTCCGATAAGCATCCCTCTGAGTAACGGGGAGAAACTTCCCCGGGAACAACTCTGAAAACTGATCCCAGGTCAAGGACGACGACCCTGCTGGTCTGGCTAAACAGAAATCCCTCCACCAAGTCTTGGCGGATCCAGATAGACGAAAAGCCGCAAAATCAACTCCATTGGACTCCACAATGCCCATGTTCCGAGAACCTCGTGACAGCTATATAAGAAATCCTGGGGGTCCTCAGAAGAAGCTCCGCTGAATGTAGCAGTGAAGAGCTTGGTGAACCTGTCCAGCCTCCACAAAGCATCTGCGGACATAGCCGCTCCATCACCGGCCTGTGCAACTACCCCCGGCTGAACTGCCACAACTGGCTAACCCCGTGGAATCTGAGTCTGGGGAGCTACCTGCTCCGGAGTACGTGCAGCAGGAGTCTGGGCTCCTCCCCCCGCCTGGAAAGTGGCTGGTGCTACAGGAAGCAATCCTGCTCGGGTGACACTCTCCATGAAGCCCACCAACCGGACCAAAGCGTCCTGAAGAACTGGGGTAGCAATAAACCCCTCTGGGACCTGAGCTGGGCCCACCGGAACCGCTGCAGCTAGGGCCGGAACCTCCTCCTCAAGGTCAACCTGGGGCTCCGCCACAGGTGCTGCTTCTTGGGGTTGAGCCTTGCCCCTACCTCGGCCCCTGGCATGGCCACGTCCTCTGCCCCTAGCGGGAGCTGTCGGGGGCTCGGACTGTTGATCGGTAGATGAGGAAGCGCGTGTTCTCGCCATCTACAAAAGAACATAGTAGAAATTCAATCAGCATTTAGAAGTCAAACCGCACGACGAGAAAGAACAAATGAGAGGTTTTTCTAACTCAATAGACTCTGGAGAACAAGTACAGACGTCTCCGTACCTACCCCTCAGACTCTACTAAATTTGTCCGTGAGTTGTGAGACCTATATAACCTAGTGCTCTGATACCAACTTGTCACGACCCGAATTTTTCCACCATCGGAGTCGTGATGGCGCCTACTCGTGGTAGCTAGGCAAGCCAACTTATTTACCTTCCATCACTAAGCAATTATTTTTTTTATAGCATCAATGTAGAACATGAAATTTAGTAATAATAATAGCGGAAGTCTAATTCATAAGTCTGAATCAAAACGCGAAATAGTCAAATAGACTCTACCCAAGATTTGGTGTCTCATTAGTAATTCGTGAATAATGTGACACCAAATCTTGGGTAGAGGCTATTGTTGACTATTCCGCGTTTTGATTCAGACTTATGAATTGAACTTCCGCTATTATTATTATTAAATTTCATTATTAAATTTCATGTTCTACATAACTGTTAAAAATAATTGCTTAGTGATGAAAGGTAAATAAATTGGCTTGCCTAGCTACCACGAGAGATCGTGACAATCAAATATAGTAACTAAATAAGAACAGGCTAGATATTTCTCATTTCTTTTGCCGTAGAAGTAACTCAACCCCGAAAGCCACTGAACTACTCAAAAAACCAAACGTATAATCACTACCACTGCCAAATGCAAACAAGGTAAAAAGAACCCAAAAACCATATGTATAAAATCTAAATATAGCAAATACACCACGCAAATAAATAAAAATTCGCAGTTCTCTCTCGAACATACATATTTTTACCAAATGACAAAAGAGTTCTCTAAGTAAAAACTCACGTACACCCCTAACATCATTTGCATTAATATTGAAACTTTAAAAAAGAAAGATGCATCATTCATAACAAAGAAAGAAAAGACAACAAATTAGACCGAGCTACTTTAATACAATTAACTACAGTGAAGAAATCAGAAATTCTAACTATAAGAACCGCCAGTGCCATAGCCACTGTTAACCCCACCACCAACATGTGTATTATGTGCAGTGGAAGATCTTTGAGTTCCAGTGGCAGTTCCAATGGGATGAGACTTCACCACACCTTCTACCACCTGTCCAGCCGGTTGGCCACTGCCATGGCCCGGCAATGCTGACATCTGATGCGCACCAGTTGGGTGACCAGTGGCTCCTGTTGTCGAGTAGGAATGCGTCTTTTCAGTGCCAGTAGTAGAGTAACCTTGTCTAGCTGCTGCATTCTTGTCTCGAGTCTCTTGCTTGTTCATTTCGGCTTCGTTGATTCTTTCTTCTTTCTTTTCTGTTGCTATCTCCTTTTCTGTTGGGTTGTCTGCTGTCATCCTCTCCATCTGTTTCCATCACGCAAATATTACTTTATCTCGCTTATAAACTTTCAATTTTATTGGAACTAAAAAAAGTTTTTTTTTTTTTTGAGTACGAGGGTCTAATTTTTGGTGAATACGAAAATAAATTCCTTAAAAACTATTTGCATCAAAGTACTCAAGAAAATGATTCCTAAATGGTAATAGGTTAATTCCACAAAGCGCTAATGCCTTAGTTATTGTATATTTCAAGACCCTTTATTATTTTCAAAATGGTAGGAGTACTATTGAGATATATAGGAAGTATATATAATTGAAACCGGTAGAGCTATATCTATTAAGAAATGATTATTGTTCGTCTATAATTAATGGGAAGATATCGTATAGAATACACTAAACCAAAAGTAATGGAAAACCTTTTCTTGAGCAACAGCTTTGGTCTTCTCCATGCCAGACTTTGCCGAAGCGGTAATATTTGATGCTGTTTCTTTCATGGCCTGCATTTTCACTCTCTTTTTTGAAACTCTGTTTTAATCTGTCGAGAAATTAACTAAATGTGTTTCGTTTCTGTACCATGTTCATCTGAAGTAGTAACTTATATAGATTTGACCATGAGAGCTGATTAATGAGAAGAGATACGTGTCACTTCATCACCAAGTCTTATTCTCCATCCAACACCTGTCTAAACAGGTGTGTCTTTGTCTTCGTAACAGACGCAAACTGTCTTTGGTTAGTTCTTTTATGTTTTGGATAAGAATTTTCTTTTCATTTCGAAATTTGGTTTTACTTGCTCTTTTCTTGGAAAAAATTAGAACTCGATTTCGTGTTCCGAGGTCTTCAAAGCCTCATTTTATTTTTTTTCGATTTGCGTGCGTAGTCGGACGTGTATTCGGAAAGCTTTTATGTGAAAAATTTAAGAAATAATAATTTGGCCTAAAAAGTTGATTTTTTGTTGACTTTGGTCAACGTTTTGGGTAAACGGACCCGGACCCATGTTCTGACAGCCCCGGAGGGTCCGTAGTAAAATATGGGACCTGGGGGTATGCCCGGAATCGAATTCCGAGGCCCCTAGCCCAAGAAATGAATTTTTGATGAAAATTATTAAACTGAAATTATAATGGTTTTGAGAAAATGGTTAATAATTGATCTCGTTGGTATCGGGTCCATATTTTGGTTTCGAAACCCGGTACAGGTCCGTTATGATATTATGCCTTATCTGTGAAATTTGGTGAGAAACATTGATTTGACGTGATTCAGACCTTTGGTTGAGAAAATAGAAATTTTGAACTTTCTTGAAAATTTCATGCAATTTGGTGTTAAATTCATAGTTCTAGGTGTTATTTTGGCGATTTGATCGCGCGAACAAGTTCGTATGATGTTTTAAGACTGGTGTGCATGTTTGGTTTGGAGGCCCGAGAGCTCGGATGAGTTTCGGATAGGCTATAAAGTGATTTGGACTTAAGAGAAATTGCTGGTATGCTTCAGGTCTGCAGACTTCGCAATTGCGATGTCTGGCCCGCAAATACGAGCCTGGCATTTGCGAAGACTGTTCGCATTTGCGAAGCAGGGGAGGGGACTGGGTAGTTCGCAATTGCGAGAAAAAGGCTGCATTTGCGGAAGTCAAGGTTCGCATTTGCGGCAGGGACTTCGCATTTGCGAAGGCAGCAGAAATGCGAGGGGTTCACATTTGCGATACCTTTCTCGCATTTGCGAGCTTCGCAAATGCGAAGCTCAGGTCACAAATGCGACATCTGCAGCTGATAAGTTTTGGACTTACATTTCATCCATTCACCCATTTTTCAAAACCTAAACCTCAAGAGGCGATTTTTCAAAGGCAATTTCTTCCCCAAATTATAGGTAAATGATTGTTAACTCATTTCTTTCAATCTTTTGCATCTTTTTACAAGATTTCATCATAAAATCTAGGATTTTTCATGGTGGAGTTGTGTGTTTTTTGGTAGAACTTAGGAATTTCGAAATTTGGGGATTTAGACCTCAAATTGAGGTCGGATTCCAAAACCAATTGTATATCCGGGCTCGGGGGTGAATGGGTAATCGAGTTTTGGTCCGAACTTCGAGTTTTGACCAAGCGGGCCCGAGGTCGATTTTTGACTTTTTGGGGGAAAATGTTGGGAAACTTATAATTATGCATTGGAATCGATTTCTTTAGCGGTAATTGATGTTATTAAATTAATTATGACTAGATACGAGTGGATTGGAGGTGGAATCTAGAGGAAAAGCGGTAATTGAGCTTTGAATTGGCCGTTGGATTGAGGTAAGTGTTTGGTCTAACTTTGACTCGAGGGATTAGGGATCCCCGACTTAATTGCTATATGAAATTCCATGTGTGTGGCGTATAGGTGTGGTGACGAGTACCTATGCGCCGCCAAATTATTTGTTTAGCTTGTTCCCTTCCCCGTTCCTAATATATTGTCTCCCTGTCTTAACTGCTACATGCTTATTGGTGCTTCTATGTCTAATTGCTTCTTGTTAAATGTTGTTTTCTTTACTGAAGGTATCAATTGTTCCGTAGTTTTCTTGTATTGCATTATTGGTTTAAGTCGGTTTATTGGTGTTCCATGGTACATTTTGGTTGGTCTCGCTGTGTAATATTAATTGATGAAGTTTCATAATTGTATAGATTTCCGTTTGGTTTGGTTTGAGGCATAAATGTGGAGGGTTTTGAGCTAAATTGTGAAATACTTGTTCTTATATTGAGGAGGAATAAGGGTGAAATATGATTGTCTGGTGGGATCGGGTTGCGCGCCGCAATAGGAGTAATAAGGGTACATGTGGGATCGGATTGCATGCCGCAACAGGAGCAATAAGGGTGATATATTGAGGAGAAATAAGGGTGGACAGGTGGGATCGGGTTGCACGCCGCAACAGGAGTAATAAGGGTGAATGTTCATATTGTTACTGATGATATAGTGGGATAGAGATGCGCGCTGCATTATTTGTTGTTTATGTATTCTTCTTTTGCTATCATTTATTCATGTAGTATTGTAACTCTCTTAAGGATTGGTTATAGCTGAGTACTGGCAAGATATTTGGGTTTCGTATTTATTTTGCTGCAAGTTACTGCTCCAATTCGTTCTGTATTTCCCTTTTTGTTTTATTATATATTGTTGCAGATTATATTGTAAATGCCCCGCCGTAGCCTCGTCACTACCTCGTCGAGGTTAGGCTCAGCACTTACTAGTACATGGAGTTGGTTGTACTGATACTGCACTCTGCACTTTCTGTGTAGATTTTGGAGCAGGTTGTGGCTGATCGAGAGGTCGGTTGTAGATACTTCATCTAGGAGACCCAAGGTAGTCCTGCAGGCGTCCGCAGGCCCTGGCGTCCCCTTCTATGTTTCTACTTCCCTGTTTTCTTTTCTTTCGAGACAGAAGTAATTTCTTTCAGACCGGTATTTGTAGTAATTCGTAGTATGTTCGTGGATTGTGACACCAGTTTCTGGGTGGTAATAGTATATAGATAATCAGTTGAGATGGCTAAGGAGACAGGGAGTGAGATTTCTTTCAAGGATGCGGCTAATGTGTCCAGACGAGTTGAGATGGTTTTAGCTCAGGGGAGTAGTCAGGATTCTAACAAGGGGCCTCGACACTCCGGTAGATTCAGTGGGGCCTCATCCGGAGGCTGGGGTACTTTTGGTAGAGGCCATCCTCCCAGGACGTTTCATTCAGCACTTCAGACATCTCATGGAGCTTCAGGGGGACGTGGTTCTTATGTACCTCCTTCAGGGCAGCCAACTTACAGTGCACCGCCAGCTCCTATCAGAGCACCTCCTCTTCAGAGTTATTATTGCGGTCAGCTGGCCCGTCAGGGACAGTCTCAGATTCCTCAGCCGCAGTATCAGGATGGATGTTTCGAGTGTGGTGAGTATAGGAATATCCGGGGGACCTGTCCGAGATTAGTGGGTGTTCAGTCTTAGCAGCAGGGTTCTCGTGCCATGATTCCGGCACCGCCCACTCAGCCAGTTAGAGGTAGGGGTCAGGGAGCCAGATGTAGGGGTCAGCCCGTTAGAGGTGGAGGTCAGGCCGTTAGAGGTGGAGGCCAGGCCGCTAGAGGTGGAGGCCAGCCAGCAGGAGGTCGTCCCAGGGATGTAGTTCAGAGAGGTGGGGCCCAACCTCGATGTTATGCTTTCCCAACCAGGCCTGAGGCTGAGTCATCCAATGCTATTATCACAGGTACTGTCTCAGTTTGCAGTAGAGATGCTTCAGTTCTATTTGATCTAGGGTCTACATACTCATATGTGTCATCTTATTTTGCTCCATATTTGGTTGTGCCTCGTGATTCTTTGAGTGCTCCTGTGTATGTGTCCACGCCGGTGGGGGATTCTATTATTGTAGATCGTGTATATCGTTCGTGTGTGGTTATTATTGGGGGTCTTGAGACTAGCGTAGATCTCCTACTTCTCGATATGGTTGATTTTGATGTAATTTCGGGATGGATTGGCTGTCACTTTATCATGCTATATTGGACTGTCATGCCAAGACCGTGAACTTAGCATTGCCGGGGTTTCCTCGATTAGAGTGGAGAGGGACTCCTGGTCATTCTACCAGTAGAGTTATCTCTTATATGAAGGCTCAGCGTATGGTAGAGAAGGGGTGTTTGGCTTATTTGGCTTATGTTCGTGATTCTAGAGCAGAATTTCCTTCTATGGATTCTGTGCCAGTTGTTCGGGAGTTCCCAGAGGTATTTCCTGCAGACTTGCCGGGGATGCCACCCGACATGGATATTTACTTTTGCATTAATTTGGCTCCGGGCACTCAGCCCATTTTTAGTTCGCCGTACCGCATGGCCCCGCCAGAGTTAAAAGAATTGAAGGAGCAATTGCAGGATTTGCTTGATAAGGGCTTTATTAGACCTAGTGTCTCGCCCTGGGGTGCGCCGGTATTGTTTGTAAAGAAGAAGGATGGGTCGATGAGGATGTGCATAGACTATTGGCAGTTGAACAAAGTCACCATCAAGAACAAGTATCCATTGCCGAGGATTGATGACTTATTTGATCAGCTTCAGGGTGCCAAGGTGTTTTCAAAGATCGATTTGAGGTCTGGCTACTATCAGTTGAGAATTAGGGCATCCGATGTTCCAAAGATAGCTTTTTGGACTCGATACGGGCATTATGAGTTTCTAGTGATGTCATTTGGGTTGACAAATGCCCCAGCAGCATTTATGGATTTGATGAACCGGGTGTTCAAGCCTATCTGGATTCCTTCGTGATTGTTTTTATTGATGATATCTTGATCCACTCCCGCAGTCGAGAGGAGCATGAGCAACATCTTTGCATCGTACTTCAGACGCTGAGATACAACCAGTTATATGCTAAGTTTTCAAAATGCGAGTTTTGGTTGGACTCAGTCACTTTCTTGGGGCACATTGTATCAGCAGAGGGTATTCAGGTGGATCCTAAGAAGATTGAGGCCGTTCAGAATTGGCCTAGGCCTGCTTCAGCCAGAGAGATCTGTAGTTTCTTTGGATTGGTAGGTTATTATCGTCGGTTTGTGGAGGGGTTTTCATCTATAGCAGCCCCGTTGACCAGGTTGACCCAGAAGGGTGCCCCTTTCAGATGGTCAGACG